TAGAGAGGTTGAGGCACAAGTTCAAACGTTAAACGTGTACGGGTAGCAGAAGTACACGTTACACGTTTCAAGTCCAAGTAAAAATCGTTGAGGCACACGTTCATAACATCACGTGACTCAGTGAACATCGCGCATTGACTCACGGGAAATAAGTTGAAAAAAATGGCGGAAGCAAAATAAATCATAATTTTAACCCCAAACACAAAAAAATGAAGACGTTTAAGCCGATCGTGTACTCACCAAGCTACACGTAGCAAACGCCATTATCGACGGTCCAGAACTGCCAGATGGCGGCGCTCACCCGTTACCCGTACACGTTTTGGGCTAAATACGTGCGCCTCAACCTCTCTATTAATGCTATAAATTTACTAAATTTTAGCTTTATTCATTACACGTTTTAATTTTAATCTGGAAATAAATATTCATTAAGTAGCATTAAAATATAGTGACTTGTAAGAGTTATCCAGTTTTTAATCTAAATGTTTCATGAGTTATCTAAGTACTATTTCAATATACTGTATTTATATTCCTTCACTATTTGAAAACAATAAATATTCAAGATTATGTTAATTATAGTTGTATAATTAATAAGAATCATAAATAAATTATTTTGTTTTGATAAAGTTAAAATAAGCTTTATCAAAGCAAAATTTAATAATTGAATTAATTGAAAAATTATTTACTAATATTATTACTGAATTATTAAGACAATGTATCACAATATATCCAAAGATTTATACAGTAAGTAATTATTCTCAATAACTATTTCTGAATCTTAATTTTCAAGAAAATTAAGATCAGACTTTAGTGTCAAAATTTAATTTTTTATCAATTTATTTAATAAACATACATTTTTATTTATGGTCACTTTAGTTATATTAAATTAAAAAGTTTGACTAATTTAATGTAACAATAGTTTAGTAATTAATGGAGCAAGGCAGATGTCATACAAAAAGTGGAAAATAGAAGACATCTAAAGTATGCGCAGAAGCCTGGCACATTTACAAGAGCAAAGGAAAAGGGCAAAATATAAATTTCCGTGAATCAAACAAAATAGCATCAGCATGGAAAGCGGCAACATTTAAATTATAATAATGAGCATGCACAATTGAGAAGATTATAGAACGTGCAGTTTGGAATTTCCGTTTTGCAAATTTAAAATCTGATAGTTCGACCCTGAAGGTCTGTGAATCTGACCGAAAACGTTCGATAGGTGTAAAATAGACTGCATTTTAAAGGTATGGTGGAGTTTTTTAAATAGTAATGCAGTTAGAGATATAAAGTTTAGTAATTATTTAAGTAAATGCTTGTATCAAGATATTTAAGTTGTATTATCATAATTAAAAATTTGATATTTACTAAACTTATTTTATAAATTATAAATGTTGAAATCAGAAAAAAATTTTTAATAATAAACTAACCTTTTCTCCTTTGTCATTAACACCTTTCCCTTCTTCTTCAATATGATAACGTAAATTTTCTAATAAGAAAATGGAACCTGGTGATGGATCAGCACAAGCTGATTCAACTTCTTGTCCAACACAATCATTAAGGAATATTATTTCCCTAAATATCAAGACATTATTAAAATTTCTGATAAAATTTNAATTATAAATGTTGAAATCAGAAAAAAATTTTTAATAATAAACTAACCTTTTCTCCTTTGTCATTAACACCTTTCCCTTCTTCTTCAATATGATAACGTAAATTTTCTAATAAGAAAATGGAACCTGGTGATGGATCAGCACAAGCCGATTCAACTTCTTGTCCAACACAATCATTAAGGAATATTATTTCCCTAAATATCAAGACATTATTAAAATTTCTGATAAAATTTTTAAAAAATTTTTTCCTAATGTATTATTAATTAATGTTAAACTTTGAAGATGTCAATATATTAAAGATATATTAAATAATTTGAACAATATATTATTATTATTCAAATTATGTAGGAAAAAAATTACAAGATAGGAGATCTTGTTTATGAAAATCAAGTATATTATTCAACTGGAACCCGTTTAAAAATGTATATTTTGCATATATATTAATCCAATTTTTCTTAAAACTATTTTTTATAGTTACAACTAGAAAACATATTTTAAGATGCAAAATTATGGCCAGAAAAGAGAAGAAAAGGTTCTGAAAAAGTATACAAAAAGGTGCAAAAAAATGTTGATGAAACATTTATTTATTCAGATCTAAACTAGTTACATGAACATTTTTTTAACCAACACTATACAAGTCGACCCCCCTATAAGATATAGATACATTCGAATTTATTAGGAATCCGATTTCTTACAAGTCGTTCCAATCACAGCCCGACACGTGTCAAGTTTATGGACTACGGCTGATTGAAAGCTTTTCTTCCATAAAATTAATCGATTTTACACTAATCCGACTCAACATTTCCAAAATACGTATATTTTTTCGTAGTTTTATAGGAATCGTAATTATAGGGAACGTAATTATAGGGGGGTCGACTGTACTAAATACCATAAAGTAAACATATTTAGGAGATAAACATGATATTTACTGGGTTTTAACCAATTTGGTATATTAGATTACAGACAACATTTCTATGTTTTCAACATTAAGTTGCTGGCACTTTGAGCTCAGGAGATCCTTGTAAATGGAGAAACTCCACTCAACATCAACTGAAACCAATGGAGCAAATCTCATAAGCACTTGGGAAAGAAAGGGAGTTCAGTCAAAGCTGCAAAGATTTCTACACCCAGATTGTTTCTCAAATTTAATTCAAATTTGGCTTTGGCAAATCTGTCAAGATTGTCACTCACAGTCATTAATTTCTTCCACTGTTCCTCGATCACTCACCACAAGCCTGACTTTTCATATTGTATGTTCCCTAGCCATAGTAGCTTCATGCACGAATCATTGGATGACTGCATTACTGTATAGGAATTTGTCTTCTTGAGTTGGTACATCTTAAAAAGTGTGAGTTTCACTTATTCACAAGATAATGGAAACACCAGCAACTCATATATATATATATCTTTACAGCTCATCAGTAGTTTTATCTAATATAAATCCCATTTCATACTTGCTGACCATCACTTTTATCAATATTTTCTTGAAATTGGTTTTATATAATTTTTTCTAAGGGTGCTCTCATCCAGTACTGACCTTTTCATGTACTGTACTTATCAAAGAATAATTTGAATGCAGGATTGTATAGCTTGTGGACTGGAATTCCTGATTGATTAGAATTAGAGTAATGCATAGAAGGAACCTGGGACACTGTAACACTGGGAATGCTACTTCTTTGTACAGTAATACCTCGACTTACGTGAACCCGGAGTTACGCGATTTTCAAATCTCATCGATTCGTCTTTTGTTTGAGGGCCACGTAACTCTTGATTACTTACTCCCCCCACACTATTGTTCGGCTTACATGTTCGGATGTGTCGCACGGAATCAACATAGAGCTACAATTTATTTTGTGTTATTTATTTCTGTGTTTGTTATATCTACGGAGACTTGAGAAACTCTACTATGTCATCCAAACGAAGTAGAACTGATTCTTCTGCATCAAAGAAGAAAAGAAAAACTTTATCTTTGGAATGTAAAGTTAACATTATTAAAGACTTCGATACAAAAATAAAAATTCGTGAATTGGCGAAGAAGTTTGATCTACCAGAATCGATGGTCAGAACAATTATAAAAGGTAAAGAAAAAATTCTCGAAGTTGTGAAAAATGCTCAATCTTTAAATTCAAGCATCATTCGTAAACGTCACGGTATTATCTCTGAGATGGAAACAATGTTAAAATTATAGTGTGATAATCAAGTAAATGTGAAAAATTGTATAATAATATAATTTGTTATACATATGTATTATCTAAGATTTTATTACATATTTTTTTCTAAATTATTGGTTTCTTTAGTCTCCGGCCCCAATTAAAAATTATTTGTATGTATTTATATGCGAAATTATACCCCGACTTACGCGAATTCGACTTATGCGGTTATCGCTCGGTCCCACCTATCGCGTAAGTTCGGGGTATTACTGTATTGCTTTTGAAGGCCTTTTTGAACATGGAATTCCTGATTGAATTAATGCCATGGTAAGATCTGCACTGAATTCACTCTATGACTACTGCTTTTCAGATCCTGAAGTGAAGGCACACATCAAGATAGTTTGCTTAGGTTTTGACTTGTGACATTCAATGTTCTTTGCATGCTTGCTGTACCAGATGTGCTGGTTTATTCTGTGTTTTTGATGCTTCTCATCGATTGCAATATTTACATAGCAGACAGCACATCGAAGAATGAGACCATCAGTTTCAATTAATTGCATCTTGAATTCTTCTGAAAGTGAATACAACTTTCCATTCTTAACCTTTAATACAGATTCTGGTTCAAAGTGATACAATAACAACACAACCAACTATATAGAGCAACTATTCATCATAGAGTCCAAGGTCAAAATGAAATGCTCTCTTTTTCTGAGCTTTCTTTATATACTGGGAGCAGACTTCAGAGAACTGTGACAAAGCAGTAGTGCATTATTCACCAGTTTGCAGGAACTATCGGGGCTACAATGATGATAAATATACCTAGAAACACCCAACGATTGCTTAAAGGATTGGACTACAATTTGGCTAATTGAAATAATTAATACAAAAGAAGTGACCCAGGACAAGGCTTGAACCTGCAGCCTCTGCTTGTCATGCAGTGCACTTTCCAGTTGTGCCACCTGGACCCTGAGCAAGTCTTTGCTTTCAGAGGTATTTATTAAATTTGGATATAACCCCACCCTGGGTCAGTTCTTTTCTTCCAGAAGGTTCTAAATTATTTAATAAATTATTAAAATTATAATTATTAATTTAGTTAAGAGTTGGTGCCTAACACCTCCCTCTAGTGATAAATTACTTTGTATTAATTATTTAAATTAGCCTAATTGTAGCCCGATCCTTTAAGCAAACTGTTGGGTGTTTCTATATATATTTGTTGGGCTTTGCAATTTGTTATATTGATAAATATACCATTTCATAGCTCTCATTTTGTAGAACAGACTAAGGGCATTTTATGTAGCTGTTCAAGGAAAATAAATAAAAATTATTTTCACTCATTTTTCTGTCCAATCTTTAAAAAAACAGAAAAACAAGGAAAAAGTGCTGAGGCATTAAAGAGGAGGGAAAGGGGAGAGAAATATGATAATCGCATAAAAAGGTGCAACAGTGTGTTCATTTCACTTTATTTAATGCCTCAAAATATATATCTTGAACTATCTGTATGAAAATAGCTATATTTTTGGAAAAGTGCACCTTAAAATCTTTCCTCTAGTAATAACATATGCTGATGCCATCAAACTAATAAACAGTGATTCAATTAAACTTCAATCTAATCTTACTATTTTATATTACTGGTAAAATATCACAGTTTACATAAAATTTTAAGATGCCATGTGTAATTTTCATTTAAGAATACCTTCACTCTTTTTTTCCATACTGACATTACAAATTTATGTAGATTCAATAAATAATCTTAGAATTAACTTGAGTCCTAATCTTTCTTTTGGTTTATACATAATAAAGACTTTTACAGTTCAAATGGAATATTGCATGAAGAGAGTGTCTCTTGACCTCATCAATCTTATCACTTTTCTTCATAAATTATCAGTCCCTAATAGATTATTTCCTTTTAATTTGGGCATGTGCTATTTAGTTATGTATTTGTATGTTAGTTAAATCATCTCTCATTTATATTTATTTTTAAATCACAATTGAAAATAATCGTGTCATCTTTCATTTATATTTAACAAATGTTAAAGATATGGAACCTTACTACTTTCGAATAATTTGAATGCAGGATTGTATAGCTTGTGGACTGGAATTCCTGATTGAATTAATGCCATGGTAAGATCTGCATTGAACNAGCCGATCACCCAAAACGTCAGTTAACCAAAAGCGTTCCAGTTGGACTGTGTCATGCTGAATCGAACATTTTTGATACCAGATTAACTTCCAAAATGTAATTTTTTTGCATTTTATATTTTTAAATATATAAAATAAATATATTTAAAAATATAAAATGCAAAAAAAATATTTCTTTATTTTGTACAAACAAAATAAGTTTGTACAAAATAAAGAAATAATTTTTAACAATACAATAGCCATGATTATTATTTTAAAAAATTTACATTAGGCTTAACATCGACGAAAGTTCAACGGAAAGCGACATGCAATGGAGAAAAATTCCAACATGGGATAGGTTAATATATTTTTTCATACATAATCAGTTATCTGAAAAATAAGTTATCTGAACAACCCCAGACCCCAATTGATTCGGATAAATGATGCTCTACTGTAGAAGAATTTATAAAACAAAATTAAATTATTATATGAGCACTAAGGGAGCTTTTCTTTTTTGCTAAACTTATTATACCATCAGTAAAAGGAGAATAAACTTTAGAAAAACTTTTTATTCCTTTGAGAATGCATTTGAAATCTGTTGAAATGCAAAAAAAAACCCTTTTTCGACCCTCCCCTCTCTTAACACCATTCACACCCACTATCTCTCCTCTACCTCAAGACAATGCCTTTCTGTTGTATCCTGTTAACTTTCCCATTTACATCTTGTGTATCACCACATTGTGTACAACTCTACTGTAAGTTAAAACAATTTTCTTATGTTTTTTCTATTTTACAGTGCACTTTCTTCATTCCATCATTCTGTTGTTCTCAAAATGTTTTCTATTGATTCTGTAATCAAGGTCATGGTTTCCCAAATTTTATAGTCTGGCCTCTGCATTGTACCATGTATATTGGGGTGTTTTTCCAACACTATGTACCATACCATTATGTTGGCAGTAAGTCCAAACTTTTTACATATATATGTAGTTTGTTTTCCCTTTTATAAATCATTTTCCAATTTATCACTGTTTTTTAGCTTATACCTGTTAACCATAACCATCCATATTTATCTAATGTCGCAACTCCTGCATTTCTCATAACCCATGTAAGTTTCCTGATGTTCTTCTACAAATTTGTAACATCATGATGTTTTTTGTACAAACTTGTATACATTATGTTAACTTGTATGTAATTTTTTTCCCTATATAGTTGTAACACACAGAGTTGAAAAGGGACAACTGTCTGAAATGCATTCTCAAAGGAATAAAAAGTTTTTCTAAAGTTTGTCCTCAGTTTACTGATGGTATAATAAGTCTAGCAAAAAGAAAAGCCACCTTAGCATTCATATAATTGAACATAAGACTAGACAAGAACTGTATCACACAAAATAAAAATAATTTTTAACATTGTTAATTTCTAAATTTAAGAATTATTCAAAATTAGGATAGAGTTCAATTTTTGATTTTGGAATCATTTTTTTAATTGTTATATTCATTTTAAGTGAATGATTTAAGTTAAATTTAACTAAATTAGTCTCTTTAAAACTAATCAAGTCATGTAAAAAAATTTTTAAACATTCATAACAATATTTTTTTCATTTTATAGTACTATTGTATGTGTACAAGTATATACACACACACACACACACACAAACAAACAAACAAACAAACAAACAAACACGCATTTTAGATTTAATATTTATACTGTGTATTTTATTACAATTTCTATAATTAGGAAACTGATAATTATGGAAATGTAATAAAAAAATTTTTCTGAACTATTACTTTCTAATATCCAACTATAAACACAGTAAAGCGTCGTTTATCCAAAAGAATTCCAGTCGGCAAATTTAAATTTTTGCTAGTGCTGTGGCACTGCAATCTTTGGCTATATCCTGGGCTACTCCAATACTTTTTTTGATGTGTGTGTTTTAGCTGGCAGCACTGGCACTTTTGTGTGATGTTTTTTTTGAAGACTATGTCATGCTGAATCAAACATTTTTGATACTAGATTAACTTCTAAAGTATAATTTTTTTTTGTTTTTATATTTTTCAATATATTTATTTTGTTTGTAAAAAATAAAGAAATAATTTTTAATGATACATTAGCCATGATTATTATTTTAAAAAGTTTACATTAGGCTTAACATCAACGAAAATTCAACACAAAGCGACATGCAACGGAGAAAAATTTCAAAATGGGATAGGTTAATTTTTTTTCGTATATAATCGGTTATCTGAAAAATAAGTTATCCAAACAACCCCAGTCCCCAATTGATTTGGATAATCGACGCTCTACTGTATTATTAAAATCCAGTATGGAATCATAGCTTTAAAAATATAAAATATTAGTATTTGATTGTTTGTATGTTCCTTGGAATCAAGCAAATTTTATTTAATTTTCCATCAAGAGAACTGTTCCTATGTGATAAGTTCTCAACAGCAATTTTATGCTTGTTTCCATATAAAATATTGATTATCAGCTACAATATATCAGTAAATGCTATTATTGATGTATCTTTAATTTAGAACAATATACTTTTAGTTCTTACTTCTCCTAAAATTTAATAAAATCCTTTATATATTTGTTTTAGTGTATCAAATATTTGAATTTATCAAAAATACTATTATTTATTGCCTAAAACATTTAAAAACTAAGTATCATATTTTTATTTAAAACATTAAGTGTTTCAAGAATTAAATTCTTATAAAAGTTTATTTGAGATTAAATTAGAAATCCTTACTGATTTAATAGAGATTTCAATTCTTCTGCCACAGGTTTCAAAGAACAATTAGGTTTCCTTTGGCCATCTGGTCTTCCTAAATGGCTCATAAGAACAATACTTTTTGCTCCATTTTGCAAAGCATATTTTATTGTATCTAATGCAGCAACAATTCTAAGGAAAAAAAATTTATAAATAAAATTCTATATCATTTTGATATTTTTATTTTAAATTATTTTAAAATTTAGTGAATATAATTTTTAATTCAATATAATACTAACCTTTGGTTATTTGTAATTTTTCCATCTTTCAAAGGAACATTAAAATCAACCCTGAAGAAAAAAGTATAAATATTTAGATTATGACTAATGGCTAGTAATTAAATTCTTGATTTTTTCATCTAAAGATTTCAAATAATTTTATTACTGTTTATACTTCCTAATCCAAATGTGTAATCCATATCTATTTATCTAAAGTTAAACTTTCATGAAAAGATAAATTTTCATATATTTCTAGGCACTTCAAAGTAAAATGTAGAAAACAATACAGGTAAAAATCTTGTGGATACGACTTCAAAGAACCAAGCCTATCATTACAAAGAAAAACTCCTAAGAAAAAAATTTGACTGTGATCTCACTTGTCATAATTTTTTAAACACTAAAATTTTTTACATCTCAGATGTTTTCATTTGAATATCAATTGTTTTTGGTTAATGATTGCATTATTACATCAAGACCTAAGACAATGATATACAGTTCTGTCAGCACTCTGCAACAGCTGCTGACTCAAATGTTTTCAATACACAATTTAGTAAAATCATAAATAGTTTTAATTCACATAAATCTGGTTTTGTTATTCTTGATAACATTTTGAATAAAAATAATTTGTTTTAATGCAATTTTATCCTTACAAACATAAAATTAACCAATAAAAGTAAAATAGCTCTATGGGGAATCCCTATAAACTTTGACCTAGCTAGATTTTCTAATTTTGCAGCTGTCAGTTCATCCAAATCATCATCAGTATCAAAAGGATAGATAAACAAGAGATTTTTAGATTCAGAGCTTTTCAATAAAACTCTCCACATATAGAGAAAAATGGCTTCAACATGTATCTCTAATCAGTCAATAAAAACATAGACTCTACGGTGCTTGCGGCCTTTGCCAAGCAGCAGAATATCGAAGTCTTTTGGGATCGGGCGTTGATCATTAAAGCCACAAAATCCAGGCAGGCTGTGAAACATCTGGAAAAACTAGAAATTCACAAGGCGCAAATGCACACAAGCTGTATTAATCATAGGGATGCTGACGGATTATCGTCGGCATGGAAATCCTTCTACGATGAGTGACGTAATTTATGTAAGCGGGAAGATTATATAAGATAATTTTTATTGGATGCATATAATTTATTTTATTTCTTTTTATAATTCTTAAGATTATTTAAACTTGGTAAATGTTAACGTATTTACATATATTTATGTAACCGCTTTTTGAATTTCGTTTTACGTAATTTTCGAATTTCTTCGTTCGATTCACAAATGTTAACTGATGATGATCGCTTAAAGCGTTCGAAAGCGTTTTTAAAATATTAAAAAACGATTTGCTGGAAGTTTAAAGGTGTTGATTTTTATTTATTGTGTGGTTCCAGTAAGGAAAGTATTTTATTTATCTCTAATGTCACCAGGTAGGATACTTCATGCAGTTTTACAGTATCAACCACAAGGACGACAATGACCTGGATGTCCACAGAAAAAAAAAAAAAAAAAGTTGGAAAATTTTGAACATCAAATTTTAAACGGAAGATACACCATCAGATTGGATATCAATGTTATGTTGCCAGAGTATGGAAATTACTAAACCTCCCTTAGAGATCTCTAGGCTTGTGGGAGTGTATTACTATTCTTGTAGTTTATGGCCCTATTTTTCTTACAAGCCTTATATATCTCCAACCTCTTATGGCCTGTTTCTTTGCACTTTTGCACTGAAATCAAATGTCCAGACTTATATATAAACATCAAGAACCCAATATATTGTTAATCATCCAATGGTCAGCCAAATTAATCAGGCAATATTATGCTACAATTAATAATTAGAAATTAGAGGTAGGTGTTAGGCACCATCTCTTATTGAAAGTAGTAACTATAATTTAATATCATTTAGAATAGTTTGGAAGAAAAGAAAAGAATTGGCCCAGAGTGAGAGTTGAACCCGCAACCTCAACTTACTGCATGATGTGCTGACCAGTTAGGCCAAGAACACACATGCATAAAATTGTGTTGCAGAAAACTGAATCAGAAATCAGCTTTCAGTTCAGTTTCTGTTTTACAAACTTTTATGCCAGAACACACATACGTAAAAATTCTGGCAGAATAGGAAGCAGAAATGTAACAACGTCATATGTAGTTTAGTAAAATGGCGCTGTCAATATCTGATGATGTTATTTGTTGATGGTTGTATTCCACTCAATCATTGATGCTTTTAAGAAATTATTTTATTTAAAAAATGCCAAAAGAGAGACTGGTGGGTTAGGAAACTATTTTGAGAGTGTGATTTACATGGATTTAATAATTCGTTAATTCCGGAACTACAATTTAACGATCAAGAATACCACTGTCACTAAGTGCTACATGTTATTAATTTTTTTTTCTCATATATATCTATATCCCTTTGTACCTTCCATTTTTTCTCCGCTGCCTCTGCTATAATTTAGAAAATTTAAATTAATAGAATCGTATTCTGAATTGAAACAAAGAACATGTGATCTAAATACTATATATCAATTCTACTAGACCTACCTGTTATTTGAAATTTAGCACCTATGGCCGTCCATACACTTTGTTTAAACACAGTGTCTTTATATGTGACACTTTTTATGTCATAAAGACACTGATGTGGTCAAACAGATTCGATAAACTCCTCTATTTCATTTATTTTTCTCTTTTTCGAGATCATCACAACTGTAGGATTAACCCTCATTGCCGCCATTGTTAGAATAAAAACCATGTGTCTACTTTGATATCACAAAACAGACTTCTCTTTACTGGAGGAATCTTGTCATAAAAAGTAGTGACATGCTCTACTTTTTTTTCAGTTATGTTTCAGCCAAAATTTCAGAAAAATTTTTACACTTTCTGTTTTATGCTAAATTTTACGCTTGTGTGTTTCTGGCCTTACATCACCCAGACCTCGCCAGCACACCGTGCAGTAAGCTGAGGTTGCGGGTTTGACTCCCACTCTGAGCTAATTCTTTTCTTCCAGACTATTCTAAATGATATTAAATTATAGTTACTACTTTCAATAAAAGATGGCACCTAACACCTACCTCTAATTTCTAATGACTTAATTTCTAATTATTAATTGTAGCATAATATTGCATAATAACATCCATATCAAACAAAAATCTGTTTATCCGAAATAGAGTCAGCCCTCTTTATTTTGGATAATCAAGGTTCTATTGTAAATGTGAGACTAAAGGAAATTTTTGGATACTTACAAAATAAACAGTCATTTTTGTAGTGGGAGGGAAAGGAAGTAGATGCATTACATAATCTGTTCAGCAGATGACGAATTACATGCAAACAAAAATCATCTTCGTAATCCTAACAATGTATTAATTTTAATAAATACCTTGCTAGAATTATAAAGGTAATTTTTGTTTGTCAACACTTTTCATAGTTGCATACTACCATTTTGGACTCTAATTACAGAGGAGATAGCAATTGGTTTATATTGACACTAAGTACTCAGAATAAATAGTGTTCAAATCCTTGAAAAATTTCTTCCAAAATGGTTTTGGCACCAATGAAGACAAGCTGGAAGGCCCAAAAGTACTAATTTGAAATACACAAAATACCTTATGTACTTTTCCAGCAAATTAATCTTTAATCAAACATTAACATTTTTGGCTTTATTAATAATCCTTCATCAGAATTTTTGAAGTTGTTATTTTTTCTTTGGCAAATATACTGTACAATTCACCAAAGAAAAAAGTCAAATAAACTATTATTTTTCACCGAAATAATAGTTACTGGCATTAATTCAGTTAAATTACAAGAAAATATTTGTTGATATGATTTAAAAGACGAAGCAGTTCTTTTAAAAACTTCTACCAAATTAAAAGTTGTACGCTTATGTATTTTAAAGCAACTGATAATTCTGATTCAATAAATCATCTTTTAATCTTTTAAATTTCAATCGATTTTGTTGAAAAATTTATATTACCATGACAAATTCTGGTAAACGAAATAGCAAAACTTTCATTGTGCCATTTTTTTCCTAATTAATACAAAGAAATAACGCAATATCAACTAGACATTTTATTTTCCTAGAATTTCAAATTTTCAAGATCTAGATTATCATTTTATTGAATAAAAAAAGAGTTAGTTTAGACGAATATAACAGCGAATAGTATTTACTAAACCGAACAAAAAAAAATATATTTTAATATTTTTTTAATCAAATTACCGGTACTTTCAGATGCTTATGCTCTTTACGTTTTTATTTGAATAATTACCTTATTTGATCTGTATTTAATAAAAGACTCACCTCATAAGCACTCTCTTTCCTTTAATATCTACTTTATCAATTGAAAGTTTGTTGAGAGCCATTATATTTTCGGCAGGATAATTTGCTGTTCAACTTTACCCGGTATATCCTTCTCGATTACTGTCGTCTGTCAAGAAGGTGACCTTACGAAGGTCAAACAACGCCCTCTAACAAGATTCGTGTTTATTATTAAATTGTTGTTAATTAGTAATTTATTAATAACTTTTAAGCCTTTATAAATTATGTGTTTTTGATTTATTTGAATTGTTAATTAATAAAAGTTTTTATTATTATTTTATCTGTAACGAAAATAAATACAATCCATATCGAAACGTACAGTACGAGGAGTGGTAATATTTTATTAGCGGCGCGATTGCGCCGCGCGACTGAAAAACTGACTTTTTTACTTTTATTTAATCAATATGAATATGTCGAAATGAAATTTCATTGAAATTCTTATTATATATTGAAATAGTTAACACGTGATATTCTCAACACGTTCGTATTGCTACTCATTAGAGGTGGAAAATCTACTTCCGCTTCAGGAACTGGAACTGCTGAAACTAATCCAAGTGCGCGATTGTTCCAACAGAACAGTTCCTCAGAACTGCTTAGTCTGCTGGACTAGATGGTTCCTCGGAACTTTTATGTTCCGTTGGAATTTCTGTTTGACTAGACAGTTCCACAACAGTTTTATGTAGGTAAAAGATAATATAATTACCAATAAGCCTCTTTTTGGTAACTCGCAGTGACTTTCAAAGATTTATCATTATAATCTGTTCCTTTCACTAAATAAATAATGCCTCCCTGATACTGCACATTTTTATAGCCCGGTCAAGATTCCTGAAAAAACTGCAAAAGGCTTTTTCCGCTCTTATCTTGAACTGTTTGTAATTGCTAACTTGCACGTATATCTTTTAAGTTCATTTTATAATATCAATATAATCGAGATGGGTTGATGATGATAATAATAATAATAATAAGTGCAGAGCCCAAACGATTAGAAGTTGAAAGTTGAAATTTGGTACACAGGGTACGTCATGAGAATCACACTAAGAATGGATTTTTCGAAATCCCCCCGCGCAGGAGAGAGAGAGGATTAAGGCGTCACCTTACCGCTCTGGGAGACCCGGAAACGAAAATTCCAAACAATTTTTCAGGGGTGGTCTTCCTGTATATGTCGAGTTCCATTCTTTAACTTACTATTCAGCCGCTCCATGACTGAACTCTTTTAAGTGTGATAAAATGGTCTTCTTAGTACTCACGAAAAAAAAAAAAAAACGTTTCAACATCCGACCGCAGGCTGCTCCCATTATGAATCTGCCGAAACCGATAACGATATGAGAAAGATCTTTTGTATCACAGTGTTGAAAGAGTTAGAAAAACAGACATTTTTTAAAATATAATTTTCAATATATTGTTATACTTAATTTAAATAATAATATTTAGTCTGCGTTGAATTTTTTATATATGAAATGAATTTAAAATTTTCATTTAAATAACTCCATCCAGATGGCAACATTACAAGTCGCCATTTTGTTCACGTGTTGCTCTGAGCAAGTATAATATTGTAAGTATCTCGCCGAATCTTGTTAATCTTCGTTAACATAAGAGTAGTAGTAACATGTTTATTATTTTAGTAAAAACTGACTTTTTTACTTTTATTTAATCAATATGAATATGTCGAAATGAAATTTCATTGAAATTCTTATTTTGCGACATCTGGAATAAAAGGAAAAAAATTTTAACTGAAAATTCTTTAAGAATTCTTTAAGATTATAAAAAAAAAATAATATTAGTATGGCAAATATACATCGCATGCAATTGACTAATATATTTGGTACTATAATAAAGTATAGGTATAGAAAAAAGGAATTAATGATATGGAATTATGTCCGGTTTTCATTCTTGTCTTTGTCGACACGAAAAACTGGATATTGAATATCAGTTATTTTAAAGCATATTGTTTAGACGTATGAGGGTAATCAAAATTATTCGAAAATGTAATATTTATAAAAACACTTGGTAATTTCACACATACACTGGGCGTTTTTCGTAGATCTTTTTTGCTCTGTTTTAGAAGAGACACTTCCAAAAAACCGTTTTTGGGACGATCCGTTTAAAAAGTATATTTCTTTCGTTTCCAATTAAATACCGAAATGTTTTTACAAATATTGTGTTTTATTATAATTATAAATTAAGTGTCAATTTTATTATTGAATTTATAAAATTGTGCTTTCCTTAATAATTAAAAAAAAAATTATTTTTAATAGGTCTGTACAAAAGAATATAAGTCTAAATTTCATTTAACAAAAATTTTTGTATCTGGGATGACTGATAATTACTTGTATATTGCTACAAGTTACTATTAATATTTGGTTAGAAAATGATATGGTAGTCATAGTATAAAATAACATATGGTACTATTTGAAGCCATTCTGTGATACAATAAAGTCTGCTTATTATGATCACTTCGAGACTTGCAACTTTTGATAACAATAACCAGCTGATAACATTAAAGAGGATGACTCTTTGGGTGTGACTATGCAGATACAAGCGATCAAGAATATATGATGAGAAGAGGTGATAATGTTTCATGCTCTCGTTTATTATGACCACAAAGACCAGAGTGTGAAATGTCATCACCTCTTCTCGCCACATATTCTTGCTCGCTCATGTCTGCATAGTTGCACCCTTTGCCCTTGTTAAATAAAATTTTTTACTTTTTCTTATTTATTTTTGGATATGGTGATATTTGAAGTGTAATGAACATAAGCACATGGAAACAGAGCCGGCCCTACCATAGGGCGAACTGAGCAGCCGCTCCAGGCGCTAAGTCCTAGGGGGCGCCTCAGTGGTAAAGAAAATTAAAGGAAAAAATATTTTTTTCACTTTTCGATATGTTAATTGCAAGCGTGTGGCCAGTATATGAATGGCCTTATCTGTTGAGACGCGCGTGGGAGGGGTTCCAACCCCGCCTAGGTTACAGGCAGGGATGCCACCTGCGGTGACAACTCTGCTGGCACCGCAGGCACCGCTGTTTTAGTTGGCGAGTCCACTTCGAAGCGCCGGCACGAATCCAACCAGAATCTCCATATTAGAAAAAGCCTAACTGAACCAATCTCTAGCCGAGTACAGTGGGACTGATTTCTTCGAAATATTAGATGTAATAAAGACAGACATTTTTCCAGTTCGACGAGAGTGACCGAAAAGTTGTTAATTTTGGGAATTTCCGTGGACAACACCTGGTCCTAAAACGAATTAGTTAGAAAA